GACATTCACCATCAAGCTGCCATCAGGGTTGGTTTTTGGTTTGGCCTCTCTTCCTGGCTTGCAGATGGCCACCATCTCACTGTGCCTTGGCTCTGATGGCTCCTCCTCTTTCTATAAGGATACCAGTCCTGTTGGTTCAGGGCCCCACCCTCATGACCTCATCTATATGATAAAAAGCCAGTGGCCATAATGCCATAACACCGTAACGACCAAATGACTGGTCACCAGGAGGTGCATTGATGGGTCCCACGGCGGGGGGGAAGGGAAGGGGGGTCTCGGGTCTCACGTGATTTCGTGCACTGGGCCTCTAGTTTAACCATAGTTACCTCCTTAAAGGGCCTATCTCCAAATATGGTCACATTGGAATTTAGGGCTTCAACCTATGAATTTGGATTTGACAATTCAATCTGAGCTGTCTGCATTGGAGAGGGTGGTTGAGGTGGGGAATGAATGGAGTGGAAACCACAGGCCATTTACAACTATTGAGTGTTTTAGGAGCAGATGATAGGGGGCTCTAGGGGTGGGGAGGAGGGCACAGGGGAAAGAATTGGGAGAGGAACTTACAGGACATGGTGATGAACTGAATGGATGGGAGGGAAAGACATAAGTGGAAGAAGGCAGGGAGGGCTCTAGGCTCCAGGCCCAGGGGGTGGCTGGCTGGTGCACCAGCACAGAGGAGAGGTGGGTGGAGCGGGTTTTTCAGGCTTGAGGCATATTGAGCTTGTGGGACACCAGGAGGAAGTGTCCAGGAGCCCGGACTCAGCGGAGCCCGGACTGGAGGCTGAGACTGTGACAATCTCAGTAGCAGATTTCAAGTGTCGTTGAGATTCTCCTGATGGCTATGCTGCAGGCGTGAAAACCCTTTGAGGTTGGGGAGTGTATTACTGCAGCTTCTCCTGGTCTCCCCTGACTGGTTTAGCAATGTGCCCATTGTCTTGTTGGAAGACCATGGGCCATTAGCCATAGTCAAAGCTTTGGCTAGGAAGACTCCAGGCAAAAAGTGGCCTTCACCTTATTGAAGAGTGCACCTTGTTAAAGGAAAAACTGGTGGTGCAGACAATAGGTCTGCAGCTGCATTGACGAGGTGTTGGCGAGAGTCAGAGTTTGCCTAGCATTGACAAGAAAGGACAAGAGATACCTGGGTCACACAGGCTTTTATAGGCAGGCATACAACCAAGGTAAGGACCCTTCTCCCTATCAATTCACAAAAGGCCCATGAAGGGGTGCAGTGACCCCAGCCCTAGAATTGAGGGCTTCATTGAAGGGCATTATGTGGAAAAGTTAAGTTCTACCTGTCCTCACCTCTATGATGGGGGAGGCCTGATGCCACAGAGCAGAAGAGCAGGTACCTTCGGAAAGCCGCTCCTTGGTGGGCATGTGTAGGTCATTGGAAATGTGGCAGTAAATGACCAGATGCTCTGCCTGGCTTTCTCTGTGTGTTTTTCCTACAAGGGGTTGGGCTGCCAGTCTCCCACCTTACCCAGGAAACCAGGGTGGGTACCGCCAGAGGCCCCTCCTCTGATGGCATCATAGGACCTGACAAGGTGCCTGACCCCCACAGCAGTCATTGTGTGACATCCCAACTGAAAATGCCCAGTGTTCCCCTCCCCACAGGGCTAAGCCTGGCTCAGAGCCTCTCGGTGTGGGAGGAAACCGGTGGATGGGTCTGTCACTTTTTTTGACTCTTGGTCCTGCTGCCAGTTTATTGTTGTTGTTGTTTTGTTTTGGTATTTATTATTTATTTATTTATTTGTTTGTTTATTTATTTATTTATTTATTTATTTATTTATTTATTTATTTATTTATTTATAGAAAGCATTGGAAAGCTAAATGGGACCTCCAGCCAAGTGTGAGCTCAGTCCCGCCCCCTTCTCACACCAGGCCGGTCTCTCTGTTGGAGGCTAGATCAACCTCAAGTCTCCCAATGAGGTCCTTCTCTCTCTTCCCCAAATCCCTAAAGTTTAGGACAGTCCTATGCAAATTAGCGGCTTTTAATGAGCCTCTAAACTGCTCAGAGGAAAAAAAAATGCTTTCACAGCCGAAACCAAGCACCCCGGGCCAGAGCTGGACAGGAGGGAGCAAGTTGCTGCTTTTGCCCCTCAAGGAAGGCAGCTGGGACGTGGGTGGAGTTCTGGGCTGGGACTCAGAAAACCTGGAGGTGATTCCTGGCCTTTCCCAGCTCGAGGCATCCGGCAACTCACTGAACCCGGAGTCTGAACCACACGTGTGAATGGGGAGCCCGTCCCACTGGGCTGTGGTGGTGGTAAATGTGACAGGGCCTGCGACACAGCAGTGTCAGCACTGGAGGAGGAGGGACCCCTGTGACAGCATTCTAAGGGGTAGGCCTTTCCCAAGGAAGCTTAGCTGAAGAGAGGATTGGGAGACTTTTTCAAGAGGAAATACCTCCTGTTCACCTGCACAGGAAACGGCCTCCGAGTGTGGCAAAGGATGTGGAGGAGGCTCTCAGGAGGTGAGGAGGCCCTTTCCCGGGACAGCTGTGTGCAGAGACGGGACAAGGGGGAAAGACGTAGAGATCCCTTGGAGAGGACGCAGAAACTCATCTTTGCTGCTAGTCCTCACCGGAAGTCCTCCAGCTCTGGGAACCACCCCCACTGCCTTAATCTAAATGTGTCCTTTACAAAACCAGGACTCAGCTGGCAGAACCCCACTGGGGACCTGTTCCCCATCTAAAGCTGCTTCCCAGCCTGGAGTCTTGCAATCTGGATTGGGGCCAATGTGCCCACTCCCAGCCACCAGCCTGGAGCCATGAGATGGGCTATCCCCCCACCTCCGCCCTAGTCCCACCCTAAAGCATGGCCAGTAATGTTCTGTACTCTCCAGGAGGGTTTAGAGGGGGCAGCTGAATGGGTGGAGGCAAGAATTACAAAGAGAACATTGTAGCCACACCAAAGTATGGTGCCACCTCGTGGCCATCTGGGTTCTCTCCAGCCACTGGGACTTCCTAGGATTAGCGTGGAGGGCACCCGATGGGGACAACTCAGCCTTTTAGGAAATGATGCCCACCCAGAAGCCACCCAAAGAAAGAGGCAACGGCCACCAAGGTTTACCCATTTTTATTTGTCATAAAACAAGCTACAACTAGTGTCCCTCCCTCCTCACAAGGAAAACCACACAGCACAGCTACACCGGCAAGGAGGAGGAGGAGGAAGCCTGGGGGAAGCTGGGTTTCTTCAGGAGGCGCCTTCTCTGTGTTGAATGCTTCCAGCAGGCCCAGAGGGGACTGGGTCTCCCGGCAGGGCCGTCCAGTGCCGGCACGCACCAGTTCTCGGGTGGAAATGGGTGAGGGCTGCCTTTCCACATGCCCACGTTGGGATAGGGCCTCCAGTCTTCTGGAGACGAACTCTAGGGCCTTTGCCAGGACAGCCAGAACCTTCAGCTCATGTCAAAAAAGGACCCTCCCCCCAGTCAGGTCTTGAGGGGCCGGCTCTCCAGACTCAGGTGGGAAACACCATCTGCAAGGTGGTGGGTGCACCTTTGGGAACACTGGGATGCGATGCCAGGTGAGGCCAGGTTTGCAAGAGCAAGCCGATAGGGGCACCAACCCTGGGGACGCGCCCTCCCTCTCTGCTGCCACAGCTGCTCCTGGGATGAGGCACTAGGCGTCACTTGCTCTCTGAGTGAGCATGGTCACCTGGGCAGAAAAAGCTGCGCTGCCCGAAGGCAGGGCAGCCCCCACTGGAACCTGGGAACAGGTCTGAGGAAAACGAGGCCCGAGGCCAGTATGCCCCCAGGTGGTTATTATTCCTGCCCTACCAGGAGAGGCAGAAGCAGGAGGCCCAAGGTCAGGGTCTTGCTGAAATTGACCTCAAGCCTAGAAACTCTTAAAAGCATTTGAGGAAATAGGAAGAACCTCAGGGTTAAAAAAAAAAAGAAACCATTTGGTTACCTATGAGGTACTGGACCTAACTCCTCCCTCAGCTGCGCTGATCTCTGAGAGGGCGGGGCGGGGAGGGGAGGGAACACCCAGTGTGACCTGGAAACCCAGGTCTCCTGCAGGGGAGGAGTCCTTCTGTGGCCCTGCACTCCCCAACGATGCGTTCTGTCCTCTTCTTCAGTGGCTTAAATACTGACCTCTAAATAAAAGCCCCACTGCGTGCCTTTTTCCTCTTTGCCCTCCCTCTCATGTTTTACACAGAGTAGGTACTAAATGGGGGTTGGGGGGAATGTTGCAACTGATCAATGCAAATCCTCTGAGGACATCTGCACAGGGGTAACTAGAATCCTGGTCTGGCTACGGGCCCGGGGCCACCTGGGGGTCTGGGTAACATGGAGAACTGGTGTCTTAGCTGCCTATTTCCCTCGCTCCAGGGCAACTCCCGCCTCTCCCCAAACCCAAGCTCCCTTGAGAAGGCCAACAGAGATGTGGCTTGCCAACCTTGACAGCGTGGGGCGATTCCCTCCTCTCACCAAAAAAGACTGGGGGTGTCTGCAGGGAGCGGGAGGGCCCCCATCCATGTGCACACAGGGTCAGTTTCCAAACAGAAGGCAGGTGGGCTGGGGACTCAGCCCTGGGTTCTCGGAAGTTGGGCCGTGTGGCCAGAGTTTCCACACGCAGAGCAGGGAGCGGGAGGGAATAAACAAACAGCAATGTCAATGCCTGTACAAAAGAACTATACAATTTACATATATATTTATATACAGTATATAAATCTCTTTCTTCTCAGTCCCACAACACCTCCCTCCCCACCCCCAAAAAAAAACCCTAAAAGTTGTCAGTAGCAGATCCAAAAACTTACAATAAGAGAGAATACACAATCATTCTTCCCTTTCCTTTTCCCACTGTGGTATTAGATATTGGTGTTTACAAAGGAAACCAAAAAAAGAACACACGCAAATAAGAGTTATTAAAAGTGCAAACAGGGTGGGCACCACTCATGTTACATGGGATGTGGCTGGGCCATGGCAAGGTCGAAGGTCAGGCGTCTGGTGATCCGTCCCGTCTCCCTGGTCGCGCCACCTGCCCTTTGGTTTTCTGCTTCTTAGACGAGGCGTCCTACTGAGAAGGGGGGATAGAAACAAGAAGAGGGTAGAGCTGGGTTATGAGCAGTCCAACCACACGGATCCATTTTCCCCTAAGAGCAGCCTTTACCACCTGCTGCTGGATAACGGGCTGGGGCAGGGCACAGGTAGCCTACACTTGCAGCTAAGCCCACGTTTTACCAGCCCATTCTCTGCCACCAGGAGGCATCGTCACATGGCAACTGGAACAAGTGTAGCTTTGCTCTCTGCACAAACCACACTTCTCCCAGATGCCAGCCTTTCAGCCGGGGCTGGCAGAGCGGCTGGTGCTCATCTACAGGTGGGGGTGGTGGGATCCTCACAGCACTCACCAACCTTTCTCCTGTATCCTCGGTGAAATGAGACAAAAAGAAATTGGGAGACTAGGTTCCTTGGCCAATCCCTCCACTCCCGCTGCAGTACCAGAGCTGCATGAGGGGGCCCACGGAGCAGACCCCAGAAAGAAGGCAACTTACTGAATGGGTTTGTGCCTGCTCGTTTTCCCTGGGGGGAGCTGCCAAGACTACCACCTGCAACAAATAGGAACACGTGACGCTCAAGTGGCCTTGACCCAGAGAACTGGCAGAGCTTCCTCTCCATCCCCTCTGGCTCCAGAAGGGAGTGGTTGTGGGAAAGAGCCAGGGGTTGCGTTGTGCTTCCGGTTCTGTGGGTGTCGGCAGCCCTGCTCTGCCTGAGGGAGCTCATTGCTAGCCAACACCTTCCAACAAAGTCGCTTTGCCATCAGGCCAGGCCCCACCGGGGGCCTCCCTGGAATCCCCTCAGCTGTTCACTCAGAAGAGCTGTTGTGCTGATGGATACATTTGCATAACCTGGACACTTCTTGGTCCTGGTTCTCCAAGTCACCGAATGTCAGAGGTGGAAGCATCTTTGCGACCAGCTGGTCCCTCCCTTTTACTTGACATATCTGGAAACCGAGGCTCAGAGCAGTTGAGTGACTTAACCAGGGTCCAAGGTGTGTTCTGTAACACCCATTCCGCCCCACAGGGAGGCTCCTGTGGGGCCCAAGTCTTCTAAAAAAAAGAGTGGGCAGCTGGGAGGCAGCACTCCAGGAGTCATGTGACTGGAGCCATGTGACTATGCATGCCCATCACCCTCTGGGTAAATCTGAAGAATGGGAGTTAGGACCAAAGCCCTACTGCTCCTGCTCTGCCTCTCACAGAATTATCCCAAGGATCGAGAATCTGTGGCGGCTGAGAGAGGGCTGTGAGGAGTATGAAGCATGGTGGGATCCATGCCACCCACTGGTCATGGGAGCCCACTATTCCAGGTGCCTCCAGTTATGCTCACCTTCCTGGAGACCTGAGAAGGAGAGGACCCGGAGTGGGCTGGGCACGGGGCAGATGGTATAGCCAATGCTACACGGACAGGCAGGCAGCTGGGAAGTGGCAGCGCTATCATAGGCTCCAGCCAACTGGCTTCTCCCAGTTGTGAGCTGAGCCTTCCACAGCCCCGCCCACCCGCTGAGAGGAGAAGGACTCCCAGCCAGCAGCAACCAGCTCTCCCTATGGGCTCACCGTACTAGTCCCCTCACATAAGTCCAGTGGTGCACTCCTCATGGCAATTGTATGCGACAGCTGTGGGTCACATTATCCCCACAGGAGGCTTGGAGAGGGCATAGCAAACTCAGACCTGGCTCTCTGCTTCCAAACTACCAAGGAGGAAGTGGGCACCAGGGGCCTGACCCAGAGCAGACGGCATCCAGGGCAATTCAAGGGGAAGTTGCCATTTTTCAAAAATAGAGGAATTAGTCTCCACCCTGCCTGTCTCACAGGAGGGTGACAGTATTCCTAATAAAGGTGCTTTATAAACTGGGAAGGGCCAGTTAAGAAAGAGGCCCAGCCTTTTTCTGCTACAGAGAATTCCCCTCCTGTGAGAAGTCTGGTTGCTAAAAATACCCATCTGTGTTCAAGAGTCATTTCCAAAAAATTTGGTCCCGCAGACCCAAAGCTACATTCACCCCAAACACTGTGTCCTTCCCCCAGCCCTTCCGTGCCCCCATCTGGCATGCAAGCCCCTCTCAGCCCACCAGAGGGCAGCACATGACACCAGATGACCAAGGAACGGGCTCCGTTCCCTACAACCATCTACCTACGTGGCCTCCAAGGCTCCAAGACAGGCCACAAGAGGTAAAGCAACACTTGTTGATTTGAAATGGTTGTTGGCTTTTCATTCCTGAATACAGATGAAATTTGCCACTTCAGAACCTGCCAAGCATCCATGGGAGAGTCTTGTTGTCAGGAGGGAGTGGGACATGTGTCCCACTGTTAGGTCCTGCATCCTTTCTTTGAGAATGTCAGATGATCCAGGCAGCTTTCAAAGCAGCAGAGGGACCAAGGAAGCCGCTTTCAGTCCGTGGGTGTATTCCCCTAGTATTATTAGTTTGCTTTTATACATTCACCATGAACCAGATCTGGGCTAAGCTCTTCACATGCACCATCTTGTTAAATCTTCACACCAAACATATGAAGTAAATAACATCACCTCCATTTTGCAGGTGAGGAAGCTGAGGCTCAGAGAGTTTAAGCAACCTGCTCAAGACTGCAGAGCCAGTAAGAGGCAGAGTTAGGGGCTGCCTTCAGGGCCTGTGCAGCAGCCGGGATTGTCAGCCTCCTGGTACCCAGCAAGGATGGAGTGGCCCCGAGGTCACCACACTCTGCCTCCTCTAGGCCTGGGTGCTGTGTGGACCATAACTACCCTCATGGGCAGGGGACCAAGGACAGAGTTGCTACAGGCTTGCGTGTCCATCCCTGCTCTGCTCAGAAGCGCTCCTGGCCGGGCCTGGGGTCTACACTAATACTGGGTGGTCACTTTCCAATACTGGCCTCTGCATGTACTCTGTGAAAAAAGCACAGATTCCATGTGTGTCAAAGCAGGATGTCACCCCCTCATCCATTCATTCACTCGGTTGACATGGTTCTAATGGACTGCTACCAGGTGCCATGCACGGTGCTAGAGGCAAGGAACTGAAAAGGCACAGTCCATGGCTTTAAGGGGAAACAGACAGTAAAGTGCAACACAGTGTGGTAAGTGCTACTGACAGAGGCAGGAATCTCATGAAGAAGAACAGTAATATTGGCATACTATTGAGCTTTCAGGCATTATGATAAATGCTCTCACTCGCTGTCTCACTGAGTAGGCACAACAGCCCTACGAGGTTGATGCTCTAGTTATGCCCATTTTACAGATGGAGAAACTGGAGCCCAGCTGAGTAGTTGGTGTGTGGTGAAAGAGCTAGTCTGCGGCAGAGGCAGAGTTTGAACCATGACACTGGTGACACCAAGAACTCTGGGGACACCAAGTAGCATCCTCACTGGATGGAAGTGCCCAAGTGATGAGGTCACTCACCTCAGAACCGGGGCCAAAACCTAGAGATGGAAGGGGCAGGCCCTGAGTCTGGATACCTGTGGTGACTGCCATGCAGTCCCTGGGTTTATACCATCCACTGAGGGTTAGAATGAGGACAAGGCCTTGTGTGGCCTCACCTTTTCCAAAGCTGGCATTTCAAATAAGTCAGCATCACCCCAGTCAGAACCATCAGCCCAGACCCTTCACTTGCTCTACAGATCGTCTCATCTTCAGACACATCCCACCTCGACACACCCTAACATGCTCGGTGCCTTCCCCGGGCCCTATGCACCCTCTACTCTCCTTTCCATGCTGCCCACCTCAGTGAATGGACCCCCATCCAGCTATCCATCATTCCCATCTCCGCTCAGCCACCAAGTCCTGCCTCTCTCAAACTCGCCCTCCCCGCCTCTCTTCATCCCCACTGGGTTTCTCATAACTTGGGCCACCCTCATCTCCTGCCTGGACAAGGCCACAGCCACCTGTTGGGTACTAGGCCTTGTTTATCTCCATTCTGTTTCCCACGCTGCAGCCAGAATAATTTTTTAAAGCAAAACTGATCTATAGTTTCTCACACTGAGCCCCTTCAACAGCTTCCCACTAACCTAATAAAGTTGAAACTCACCTTGCTTCCTGCCACACCCTTCCCTTCCATCCTCAAACATGCACTGCAGCCACACTCACGCCTCTGAGTTCCTCTCACACTCGGTGTCCCCCCCTCGGCACTTGGCCTCTTCCTTTCCCTCATCTGGCCTGTCTGCTGCGCCAGCTCCTACTGATTCCTTGGGCACTGGTTTAGACCAAGGTTGGCAAACTTCCCTGTGAAGGACCTGATAGCATATATTTTAGGCTTTGTGGGCCATGTACTGTCTCTGTCATTCCTTCATCTTTAAAAAAAAAAAAATCATATTCCTTTAAAAATACAAAAACCATTCTTGCTCACAGACCATATGAAAACAGGCCACAGACTAGACTGGGCTCACAGCCAGGGTGTGCTGATCCCTGGTTTAGACATCAGTTCCTTCAAGAAGTTTTCCAAGGCCGCCTGGCCCCACGCTGATTTAGGTGCGCCTACCTATGTCCCTATGATATTCTGTACTTGTCTGCCTGCGACAGAGATAATTAGATGCTGGCCAGACTCCATCCTCCCCTCCTCTGCTGGGCACCCAGCCTTCCTTACTGTCGGGTACGGTCCAGTGACTGAGATCCGGCCAGTGAAATACAGGAAGTAACGTGTGTCACTGCAAGTCTGGCCCATAAAACTCCCCGTGTGCACTGCTCCATGCTTTACCCCTGACTGGGGATGCAGATGACCCCACGGTGATCTTGGGAGCCACCTGATAAAGATGGCACAGTCATTCTTAGCCAGGATTTCAAAGTATGGAGCAATCCCTGCTCTTTCCTTCCCCTACTCACCACACACACACACACACACACACACAATGACTTAGAATCATGCTGAACTGTTACGTGGAAGAGACAACCAATTTCCACTGTGCTGAGCATTGCAGGTGTGGGTCTGCACCTGGCCTATCCTCACACACTCTCACAGCGCTTATCACAACATCTGTAAACATTTACATGTCTGAGGAAGGATGGGGACCTTGTTCATCGCTTCCTCCAGTGTGCAGGCATCCAGCATGAAGCATAGCATCCTCCCAGGTCACAGCTGAATAAATGAGCAGCTGAGATCCCATTGGTTGGCGAGCCCTTGGTCCCTGGGTCTGGTGGGGCACGTATTGCAAGGCCAGGAACCCAGGGGCGAGCACTCACCTTCTTTGCTCACACCCAGGCAGCCCTTCAGCTCGGGCAGCGAGATGACCTTGTCCTTGTTCAGGTCACAGTAGTCGGTGAAACGCCGGGCGCATTTCTTGGGCTTGGCTTTCTTCTTCACGTAGCGCTTGAAGGGCTTCATCTCCCGCTTGTTGATGTCGTTGCTGCTGTTGCTGTCCAGCTGGCTGAAGTACCAGTGCACCACTCGCTCCTCCAGGGTGTGGCTGGGGTCCGGCTCTGAGAACCTAGGCCACAGACAGACACCCCCACCCCAGAGAGCACCGCTCAGATGCCGTAGGAACCATCAGCCCCACCAGATTCTCTCCCGTAGCTCAGGTGGGGGCTGCGGGCAGCCAGGAAGACATGGTTCCTCCAGCCGAGACCTCTCAGAGCCACTCAGCCCGTACAGAATCAAGCCATCCTCTCCAGCCTGGATGGCTCAAGTCCAGTGAACGACTTTATCACATGAATCTCCTTCACTTTCTACCATAGCCGTTCTTGAACAAGATGGGTGTTCAGACATACTGGCTGGACTTAACTCACCTGAGAAAACCACAGCTTGGATCTGAGCTGTCCTTCTCCTGGCCTAGTGTCCCCTGCCAGACAAGCTGCTCTTCACACATGAACATGTATGAATGTGGCTCAAATGCACGTGACTGTGGGGAAGGGTGCTCTGAGTGGGTACCACACTCCCGGGTCCCGGGAGGGCTTCCAGAGTGGGAGGCGCAGCCCCTGGCCCTAAGCTGCTCGCTGTCTCAGCGACACAGAGCCCCAGACAGGTATGCAGGCATGGAGAACTCGGTGTGGAGTGTGACGTTCCTGTGGCCCATCACTGTCAGGCCCCGTAGGCATTGAGAGAAGGCCGTAGGAGGGACACAGCAAAGGTTCTAAACTGGCCATCCCAGGCCTGCTAGAGGCAAGTCCACAGAGAAGGTTGAGCCAGGAGGGCCTGGTGGGCCCGGCGCGCCACATGCTAACGAGAATGCCAGCGACTCTGCTGAGAAGCATTTCACCAGAGGAACCACAACAGCCTGCTGGTGTGTGGGGCACAGCAGCGGGCATGGCTCACAGCCACCAACATGCGGTGACCCCACAGTGACACTGCCTGCACTGTAACTGCCCATGAGGCTCATCCCTCGTTTTGGTCACTGATGTCTCATTTCTCCTCAGAAGGACTCCGGGTGCTAGCTGATATTTAAAAGTCTGAAAGCCAGGGATGGGTCTATTCCAGGGTCTCCGACCAGAAGGCCAAAGCCCCGGGAGTGAGTGTGGATACAAACAGAGTTTCTAAAACTGGCCATCCCAGTCCCACTAGAGGTGAGTCCACAGAGAAGCTTAATGGCAGGAGGCCCAGGCCCTTGTGTTCAAACTCCCGGCAACCTTCCCGTGGCTGAGGGTGTAAGACTGAGCCCGGGAGTTCCACATCCAGATACTTAGTCCGCAGGGCGCTGGGGCAGACAGGTAACCACGATGCATCAGAAGCAAGACCGAGGGTCTTCCTGCTCCAAAGGGGTCTTAGCTCAGGGGCTCAGGGTCTGCCAGAACATTCTGCAGCTGAGCCTGGCAAGAAAAATATTCAAGGCACTTGCCAATGCCTTGGGGTTCCCCACCAGGGTTTGCTGAGTTTTCCAGATGGGAGGGGACTAACCTGAACTTCTCCCCTATAGACAGACAAGCCAGCAAACTCCCTCCGCTTCCTACCCCCAAGTGACCTCAACGTTTAGGGAAAAAGAAGTTTCATTACTGCTAATGCCCAGTCCTCATTAAGTGGATTGCAGTCTTGGGCAGGCCCCCTGGGCACCCTGGACTGAGTCCAAGAGAGTGCAATTAGTGGATCTGCCAGCGGGACCTCATCCTGACAGGTTTAACACGGGAGGACCTGGGAAGATGGAGGCACCGGCTGCCTCGGGCTCCCTGGGAATCCGCTCGTCTATCCTGGGAGCCAGGCTCGGGAGATTTTCGGATCAGGCCTGCAGTTATTCACCGCGGAGCTCAGATTTCTGTCTCTGCCAGTACAGACACCGGGGTGTCTATTTTACCTGCAACATTCATTTTCAAGCCTGCCCCTGCAGGGTGTGCCAGGTGGGCAGCAGAAAATTCCTGGTCAGGATGCTCATAGTGCAGGGGAGGGTGGCCAGCTCCCTGTGGGAGAGCCCTGCCTGCCTGTGCAGCCCCTAACCTCGAGGGAGGACCCATGGTGGAGGAGCCCCAGGAGAAATATTCCAGTTACTCCCACCGGATGTTCTCTAGGGCGGCTGGGGCTGGGCAGGGCCCTCTGGCCAGGGGACCATGAGCGTCCCAGGCAAAGGAAGCTAACCTTTAGGCTCAGCATAGCGTCATGTCTACCTAGAGGCTGGAATAATAAAGTCTCAGTTGCTGAGACGGGAAGGAATGAGGTCATCCCGCCTGCACACCCTGCCAGGAGCGGCTTGCTGCCTCCAGCACGTGTTCCAGGGGCTCCCGCCCGCCCAGTTCTCAGCACCTCCACTGATGGAGCTGTCTGCACCTACCTTTAGGTTCGTTTGCTTCTCACTGTACAACTCCTGAGAGTTCCCTCCCATGCTGAGAGTTAGTCATTTTGCTCCTGCTCCCCTGATCCCTCTCTTTCTTTTTTTTAAAAATTGATTTCAGAAAGAGAGAGAAACATCAATGATGAGAGAGAATCATCAACCAGCTGCCTCCTACACGCTCCCTACTGGGGATGCAGCCTACAATACGGGCATGTGCCCTGCCTGGGAGTCAAACTGTGACTTCCTGGTTCATAAGTCACTGAGCCACACCAGCCGGGTTTCCCTCCCTTTCCTCCGACTCTACTTCCTGCCCTGTCTCCCTTGTCCAGAGAGCCATGTTACCACTCTCCTTGCCCCCAGAACCTCAAGCCTGGAGCAGCCATGCCTTCCGACTGCTGGCCTCCCCTGGTCTTCCTCCCAATCTGGCCCCTGGAGGCTCCAAGGACACTTGCAGAGGAGAGGCCCTCTTGGTCCCATGAAGCAATGCCCCCTTCTCTCTATCACACTGACACAGCCCCAGCTTGCCCGTGGAACCTGAGGGTCCCCCTCTTTCCTTCCTCCTCCCAGCTGGTGTAGGACTCCTAGCTCTGAACTTCTTTGACCTCCAGATGCTCACACTCCCCCTCAAATACAGAGCTCGGCTCTTACCGGAAGCAGCAGCGCTAAGGTCCTGCCTTGGAACCCAACGCCTTGTCCAGACCCAGCTCCCAATGCATTTAAAGCAAGCATTTCTTAGCTTTGGGAGATGGCTTTCTGAGAACCTAGGTAAGCTAGAGAACTTCTCCCTAGGAAAACGCACACCCACATAGGATTCTATAGATTTTAAGGATTTAATGGACCCCTATTCCTCTTCCAAGGTCACAGACTCAGGTAAAGAACCCTTCCTTGATTTACAGGGAAGAAGATACCACACCCCAAAGAATGTTTAAGCATGAACCTTCCAGAAGAAGATGGGGCGAGACAAAACATAGTAACACAGAAGGATTTCAGGATAGTTTCCATATTTCCAACAAAACATAGTAGAAAAAAAGAAAACTCTGGAGGCATCTGGTTTAAAACTATGTAAAAATCAGGTTTCTGGCTTCGTAACAGCGTTAAGTCCCAGGCCTACCAAGCGTCACAAGATTTAGTTAAAACTGAGATCTGCTGAGTGTCCTGGGCCAGCCAAACCAGCCGTGGGCACAAGTGGAAGACAGGAGGCCTCTGTTAACTAAGGGAGGCCAAGGTTTTCCCAACAGAACGAGGAGGAGCCAGGAGGGCCCCTCCCAAGCAGAGTTTTCAAGAATCTCTCAAGCAGTCTTGACTGGAGCCCTTTCCATCATAGCTAGGCAAATTTACCCCAGCCGCCAGACTATACTGAGCCGCCCCCCCCCCCCCCCCCCGCCCCACTCTTTTAGCTCTCTATAGTATACTTTCAATACTTTGACAACTTGCACTCCCAGCTCTAGGCTTATTCTGGCATCAAATTCCGAACCCCTCTCTCACACGTGCACACATGATACCCACTGGAGACCAGGAATCCTGGAATTCAAAGCTGGTTGGACAGGGTCTGGGGATCCTACATTCAAGGGTGCAATGGTCCCTTTTGACCACTTAGCATCAATTTGCTGGTCCATGCCACAGCCTCTCTACAGTTAAAGTCCCACTTCTACTCAAAGGGACCATTGGCTATGTAGGGCATTCAGGTATCCTTGGATATGGTGGGAGAGACACAGTAAAATGCTCTGTCTCTGGGCTGTTGAGGTGGCTGATCTGCTGACTCCTGTCTCCAGGGATAGGGGAACCTGCTAGAGCCAGGAGCCCCTGCACTGGCCTCCACGAGTCTTCTCCCAAGTGGAGAGGTGGCAGGTGCCACCCTTCTGCAGCACTTTCAGTTTTGCTTCTGGGGCCTGAGCCCTGCCAGGCCTTGGCTGCAATGCACAGCTGGAGAGCCAGCCCCATTTACTAGTACCACAAGGAAACTTGCTTCGGCCAAGATCGTGGGCCCAGTTCTGCTGTCCCAAGCAGTTTTATAGAAGGTGAGGTGGGACGGCCCGGAGGCGCTGGCCAAACCAAACAGACCAACTGAGCTGCCTCTGGCATTGGGGCCCGCCTGGCCAGCTGTGTGGGAGGGCGGGGCTGGGAAATGCCAAGTCAGCCACATTCCAGCCTCTTCCTGCAAGGCCATCAACAAGTAACCACACTGGGCAGGAAGGAGGAAGCCACAATAAAGACAGTCTCTCCTAGAGGGACCACAGAAGGCCCAGGAGGTTCACATGTCCCATCCCACCTCCCCACACAGTTGCCTTTCTCCAGGGTGAGTGAAGAAAGGACTCACACACAGTTCTCCAGCTGGGATCTCAGAACTCTGCCTTTGGGACTGATAAAGGCTAATTGGGTGCCATGGGAGGACTGATCAAAGGGAGAACTCTGCTCCGTGAAGCCCTGGTGGGAAGGACCACAAGCAAGATGATGATTCAATCATCCAAGATGCCTTCATTGAGAACAGCTGCCCTGAAAAGACACTAGGCCAGCCTCTCCCATGCACCAGCCACCGACGGTTCCAGGGACACCCATTCTACTTAGCCTATTTTTAGATTTGGGTGGCACTGCTTTCCCTCTAGGTCAGGCTAGCAGACCAGAAAAGGAAGTAGACCTCTCTCTATTCTCTCTCTCTCTCTCTCTCTCTCTCTCTCTTTCTCTCCCCCCCCCCCCCCCCCCCATTTCCTGCATCTGAGAAGTCTTCAGATCCTAACAATCTAATTCCTAAAGCTTCAGGACATCACCCCTTCCAACAAAACATAGTAGAAAAAAAGAAAACTCTGGAGGCATCTGGTTTAAAACTACGTAAAAATCAGGTTTCTGGCTTTTTAACAGCGTTAAGTCCCAGGCCTACCAAGCGTCACAAGATTTAGTTAAATAGCTCTAGCCCATCCTTCCTCATTGTTCACACTGACCACTGTGTAGTCTTCCTGCCCCGACTGGCTTCTGCCCTCTTTGTCTTGAATCACAAGACCCAGCATGATCTGGATGCTGCCCAACTCTGCCACCTCATCTCCTGCCTGGCCACAGCCTGACTCCCAATATAAGCCATGCTTCTTGCAATTCCTTCCGCAAGGACCTACCTTGTTCGCACCTCACTACCCCTGTGGCCCCCTCTGCTAGGGTGCCCTTACCCCTGGTCCATTCAAGTCGGAGCATTTTCCCATTTGTAAGAGAAGAAGTGGCTCCAATGTCATCTCCTGTATAAAGCTTTGTCTCACATGCCCTCCCTCCCCAGAGTCCCCTGCAGCACCTTATCTGTCTCTATTATTATACTGACTTTAAAATACAACCACGTGATTAGCTATCTCGTCTTCCAGGACTCCTCCAGACCAAGAGCTGTGTCCTTGTCCTCGAATGTCCCCAGAACCCAGTGCAGAGCTTATATGAGGGGAGGGCAGAGATATAAGAGTGTGTGCAAAACTAAAATCTCCACGCCTGACAGGTGGGTTGGGAGGGAAGACACCCTGTGTTCAGCACTGTCCAGCATCCCTCCTGTCCCTTCTTCCACTGTCCTGAGTAGGACTGTTTCCTACTGGCCTCAGCTGATGTCCAGCTTTAACTGCCAGACCCTAAGCAGACGCAGGAGAGCCCCAATGTGGTTTCCTTACACTCATGTGTATGTCAGAGAGAACTCAAGTGCTCTATCCTCCCTCCTTGTCCTCCCTGTTTCTATCCTATGCCATCCTCCTTCCTCCTACTGAGGACTATCACTCCATGTATCCAAGATAAAAGGCCTTAGTTCTCTGTATCAGACAGTGATCCCTCCACCCATCCACCCATCCTTTCAACTGTTTAATCATTTAGCAAACATTTATTGAGCACCTGCTATGGGCCAAGCACTATTCTGAATTCTGGGAATAAATACAGCAGGGAAGAAAGCAGAGAATGCTCCTCTCACAGAACTTACATTTCCTGTGGAGTGACACAGGTAATAAACAAAACAGCAAGACATCAGATAGTGGTAAGCATTAGGCTGAGAATTAAAAAGAGGTGTTGTGATGGAGGGTGCCCGGCAGCACCTGCCAACTGGGTGGTGTCTGAGAAGGAATATTAAAATGCACCAGCAGGGACCAATCCTGGGAAGACAAGGAAATCACTGTGCTGGGTTTTCCCCAGGGTTCTACAGCTCCAGGCTGAAGGAGCAACCGACAGTCATGGAGGCCCCGGGCAGGCAAGAGCTTGGCCGAGAGCAGCAGTCAGCAAACTCATTAGTCAACAGAGCCAAATACCTACAGTACAACGACTGAAATTTCTTTTGAGTCCAAAATTTTTAAACTTAAACTTCTTCTAACACCACTTCTTCAAAATAGACTTGCCCAGGCCGTAGTATTTTGTGGAAGAGCCACACTCAAGGGACTGCAAGCTGCAGTTTGCCAACCACATGTCAAGAGGAACTGAGCAGGGCCAGTGGCTGGAACATAATGATGGGAGGGAGAGGAATGTGAGAAGAGGACCAAGGCCACAAAACCACCCTGCAGAGCCCGCTCAGGTCAGGGCTCACTCTGAATACCATGGGAGGATCTAGGAGGGTGTTCACCCAGGAAACTGACACCCCTGGCCAGCTACCTCCCTGTATAACTGTGTCTTTCTCTTTCTCTCATCCCCGCCGCCTTAGTTGATTTCTAAATGATTTCTTACTTCCCCTTATTTGTCTTTTGATTGCAAGTTCAGCTTCTGGGTTACACAATTACCAAATGCAGCTCAAACCTTCCATTCAAAACTAAACACGGACAAGCTATATGAGCTTAAAATGTAAAAACATGCCAGGAGAGCTTATTTTTACAAACTTCTCACAATTCTATATAGCACCCAAAGGAGAGGTCGTTTTTGAAAGTATTCCTTCCCTATTAAAAGCATTTATACACTTCTTAGTTTTTATTTTTTGTAAAAATCTCTTGGCCCACGATGTGAGAGTAAGATATCATTCCTAACCACTCCTGGCATCAGAGTCTACCTGTTCTCTGGGCCCGAGTGGCCCCTTCCTTATCTGCTCACAGCTCCGGTCCTTTCCCAGCTCTCAGCCTGCCTGAAGCAAGACCACAGGGTCTCAAGGTCTGGGCCCCGAAGGAAGCTAATGGGGTGAAGCTTGAGGTCTCATCTCCTTCACACTGAAGCTCAAGTGCCAGTCAGCTCCCTCAGTCAGCAAGCACATCAGCTCCTGAACTGAGGTGGTTTTGGCCCCGGGAGTGTCCAATCCCACTGAACAGAACCCTGTGGAATTATCAGGGACCAAAAAGGCACCTGGCTCCTTCCTTCTGAGAAGACAACACAAGTGCTCTGTCCTCCCTCACTGTCCTCCCTGGTTTCATCATATGCCATCTCCCTTCCTGTCAGTGAGGACTATCACTCCACATATCCACCTCTGAGAACAAAGTGGTGGAAGTCCCTTGATCTGGAGGAGCTCCTGGAAGATGAGATAGCTACTCACTACAAGCTACAGACAAGCAACAAAGAACGGGGAAGGGCTTTTTGATGGAAGGTGGGACAAAGCAGTCTCAAAAGGAATGACCCTACTCAATACCTCCCCACTCCCTGACCCCACTCCCCAGCCCCAGTCTCCACAGCATCTGGATTGTCAGGGGCCCCAGGTTCCCCACTGGGCCCAAGTCCAGCTCACATCCTCACCTCCCACCTCCAGTGGGCGCTGCTGAGTTAATGGCCTGCACCATGTCTGTGGTGAGGGCATCCAGTAGGCTGGTGATAAATTCCATTTTCTTTCCTTCCGGACAGCCTGAAAAATAAGGTGAGGTTTGAAGGCTGAGGCCAGGTAAATAATCAAACCGTTTCCTCGGTGACCATCATTTCCCAAACCTCTCCGAGTCCTTCATGTCCAGCCAAATCCATTTTGGGAATCGTTTACCACTCAGATGGCTCTCACAAACCTCCACAGTTCCTCTACCTGCAGCCCACAGAGGACACTCAGACTACATGGATAGTAAGGCTTTCAATTGCTTTCATCCCACAAACTTTTGCTGTGCACTAACTGTTAGGGGTCTAACTCAGGGCTATAGTGTCCTCACCCTCGTGAAGTTCACAGTCTACTGGGAACTTGTGGTACAGTTCTGATACAGTGTGGTCAGCCATCTCTACAGGCCAGAACCAGGTGCTGAAGACACACAAGATCAAAGTTGACTCAAACAGACCTACCACTTTACCTATCCAAGAACCTCCTCCTTTTTTTTCACTTCTCTTCTCATCCACCTTAGGTGATAATGATCAAATCTCCTTTCTAAATGCTCTCAAATCCTTTGTTTTTCTTCTTCTCCTTTGCTCTATTCCAGCAAGACCCAAAGCATGGGTGAACCTTCTCACAGATTTGCTCTTTTCAAGTCGACAGCCATGTAGCTCAGGATTGCTAGTGTGCGCACCATCACACATATGGGTATCCCTGTCAATTCAATGGGCCTGTGACACTCCCTACACAGTCTGCCTTGGTGACTATTTCATTCTCTTTTCTTTGCAAGTCCTGCAGGTGTCAGTATACCTTCTTTGCAAATACCTTTTCAGAGAAGCCTGAGACTCTGAAGTAGGCTCACCCTGTCCTTCTCACAGCACCATGCTCTTTCCCTTCAGAGTTCCTGTCACTACTGTTTGTATGTTTATATTCATTTATTTGCACACTCTCTGTCACCTCCACTATGTAAAAGTCATGTCAATTTTTGTTGTTGTTAATCTTCACCTGAGAAAATTTTTCCATTGAGAGTGGAAAGGAGTTTGGGGAGAGAGAAGGAGAATGGAGAAGAGAGGGAGAGGGAGAAGGAGAAGGAGGGAGAGGGAAAGAGGGAGAGGGAGAGGGAGAGGAAGAGGGAAAGGGAGATGGAGAAAGAAACATCAATATGAGAGAAACACATGCTTTGGTTGCCTCCTGCACATGCCCCAACTGGGACCAGGGGTCAATCCGTCAACCCAGGTATGTCCCCTTGACTGGAAATTGAACCCAAGACCCTTCAGTGTGTGGGCTGATGCTCTAACCACCGAGAAACACTGGCCAGGGCCCACATGTCACTTTTGATCCTGCAGTGATACTCAGTGCCAGGCACACAGGAGAATCCCAATTCATGCTTGCTGTGGAGATGGCTAAAAGGAACTACCCTGGCCTCCACAATTCCATTCTTGTAACGGGGTGACTTCTACACACCTCACTGGAAAACCCCAGACCTTCAGGAGCCTCTGTTGCCAATTCTCACACTGGGGTCCTGATGGGGAATGAGAAATAGGGACAGGGGATTGGAAGGGGAACCCAGCTCTCACAATAACGGGTCCCAGTTTATGCTGATTAAAACCACCAATCTGTAGTAATCTTCGCATAACTCATTAGCAGAGTACCCTATGAATAAGGGAGAAACCAGCACAGAAGGTCCTGGTCCCCCTACCTGTATGTCTTGTGTCATAGCCCAGTGACAGTCCTGGGCCACCGGGGATCATCACAAACACACTAGGCAGGGCAGGCGACAGGCACTGCCCACAGCCCCCAGGACAGCCCCTCCCCAAAAGCTGCCTGATCTGCGCAGCCCTGGGGAAAAGGGTTCATAGCACCCAGAACGTGTCCCAGTCACCACAGGACAAAGAAAGGACTATAGAATTGCAGGGACAGGAGCGTAACCCAGGGACCACATATTACAGATAAAAAGGAAAGGGTCAGGAGGAGAAACAATGAGCTCAGCGCACAGGACTAATTAGGGACAAGTCCCAGACTAGATGCAGATCCCACAGCTACTGTGCTCCCAGGTGCCCCTGTCCAGCACACCTGCTCCATCTCACGGATAGGAAACAGACCTCAGGAGGGAGCACTTTCCATGAAGAGGAGGGGATACAGAAATAGGTGAGATGCCAGCAAGGGGCAGCGCCATCTCCCACCTGGCAGTTCCCTGTCCTTGAAGGGGTCATCCACCTCGGTGCTCTTGGCCCTGGCGTCGCTCTCACAACTGGGCATCACGTAGCTGGGGAGAAAGAAATGATGCATGAGGAGGGGACTTCAGCCACTCCTGTAGCAATGATCTGTGCTGTCGGGAAACCTGGAGCTCCCAGGGCTGGCAGGGAAGTACCCACTTCCCTGTCCAGCAGCCTCACTGAGCAATCCCAGCGTAATGTTCCCACTGAGACGTGTCCTTTCAATCGTTTAAGCATAGAGGTGGCACCGTATGTCTGCACATGGGATCTTTTTTGATCCATAGGACCTAGTGACTCAGGCAGGGCAATAGCCTTCTTATTGATGAACTGGGGTTCAGAGAGGCTATTTACTTTTCCAAGGTCGCCCAGCATCCAGGACCCACATCTCTCTATCAGAACCTCATCTGCCCATGAAGGCAGGTGCTGGTTCCCCAGTGCCTTGATTCCTCTCACCCAGAGCAGTGAATCTGGGAGGGACTGCGGGCCAGCCCAACAGGAAGCCGGTTCTCTTGCCCCAGGATCCACCTGGGGGGACTTACCGTGTGGAGGTCCCAGGCAGTGGGCGCCCCGTGTCCACCAGCACACACCAGCAGTAGCCCGTGGACTGGTGGCACTGCACCGGCTTATAGAGCCCCCCAGGGGCGCACTCTGGGATGACAATGCCCTCCCGGGGGTTCTGCCGGGCCTCCTCCAGGGCACTCTGCCTCTCCTGGTCACATGAGTGGACTTTCTCTGCAAAAGAAGACACAGCCTGTGGCTACTCTCTCTCTCCCGTGACTCATCACTGCTGCCCTCCATGCAAAGGCCCAGCCTGGTCCCAAGGAATGGACAGCTTGGCTGACAAAACTGCAGGAAGAGCAGAGCGGTGCCTCCAACCTCCAGGGTTCATCAGCATCCACACCCAGGAGGCTCCAGCAAGAGACTGCAGCCTCCTTACCAGGGCGGTGGTTTGCCAGGGGATGGGGGGTGAGGGGGTGGATTTCCCAGCTGTTTCAGAGTGGCTCCTGCTGTGTACTGTCTGCTGGAATGCCTGCGTATGGACTCTCCCAAGCCCAGACACAGCGGGACAGAGCCACGGGCCGCTGGCCTCGGCGAGAGCCATGCTCAGTGCCCAAGAGAGGCAGACACGAGGCCCCACCCGCTCCTTCCCAGCTCCAACAAGGCTGGACAAAGGAAGCTGACGGGACTTGCTCTTATTACACAACTCTGCTTCCAGCCAGTGGGAGGGAGCAACGGGCCCACGGGAAGGTGTCTGGACTCCGTGGCCTGGGGAACCGTGAACGTGTCTGGACACTCACACTTGGCTTCCCTGGAGCTAGGCCCAGGCTGAGGCGTGTACGTTGCCCAGTGCCAGGAAGGCCAGGTTAGAGGCCTCAGACCCACATGGCCACGACCTGCACATCCCACCCCGTCAACCAGTCAACCCAGCTCCCTTCCCTTTCCTGGTTTTCTTGTTATTGTTATCAGGCTGTGCTTTGTCTTGCAATTATTAAAAATAAATAGCATTGGATTTCTTTTCGTGTTATAAAGAAATATTTAAAAACCCATAATCCCATCAATTCAATGCTATCTCCCCTAGATCTTTTCTTATAAACACACACAAATGCATATGCACATGCCAACTTACATTTTACAATCAAAGGGATCACGCCATAAGCCTGTACTGTTCCATTTTATCTACTTATTTATTTACTTCCCTTACTACTTTATTGTTTTTCCAAGAACATTAGTCCAGAACTTTCCTCTTGAAGATGACAGGAATACAGGCTTGAGCGTGCTGTGGAATTTTCAGTGCATTACAAAAATACCATTCCTAGGGTCAGGAATTCGGTTTCAGCAGCCTGGAGACTCATGCTACTCACTGAGCAACCAAACAAATGATCAAAATAACAGAAACCCAACTCAGTGGCTCTGTTAATGGTTCGCATATGAAAGTACAGATGTTTACACTGCAGTCATGCCCAGAGATGCAACGCAGCTCCCCTCTGCCTCCCAGAAACTGGGGTGATGGGGAGCCTAAGGCCTCACTGAGCTGAGGGACGGGGAACGTTTCCTGAGGGGCCTAAGAACATCTGAGGGTCCAGAGGCAGGTGTGGCTAGCACAGTCACTATGGTAACATGATTTGGAAACTGCAACGTGAAAAACTAACTATTGTCTTCATCATGCAAACACAGCAACGCTACTCAGAATCGCATTGGCTGGGGAACAGTTCTCCACGGCAGACCTGCGTTGACTGGGGGTTCTGAACCCGACTACAGCCGCCACCTGCACAGCCTCTGGAGGAGGCTTAGGAAAGGGACGTACATCGATGGGTAAAACCTGGTTGGAGCCCAGAGGTTGCACTTAAGCCCGGACTGGGATGGAACCCTGGCACCTCACAGGGGATTGCGCAAGGGTGTTTCAGCCACCGCACAGCCCCCGGGTGGTAGCCTGATTTTCCAGCCTCGTATTTCATGCCACGGAGAAGGCGACAGAGGAGCAGAACCAAAGGAAAACGGCGTTTGGCCGGCACCACACCGGTGAACAACCTCTGACAGAGGCTTTAAATTAAGATCCCGTGGCCCAACATTCTGAAGCCATAAATCAGCCCGAGAGCCAGACGCAGGGAGGTGGAAGGAAGCTTCCCCAGGGGCAGAGCGCGTGATGAACCTGACCTCACACCACCGGGCATCCCGCAACTGCAGAAATGTGGAGGGGCCCATCTCGGGAGGGGTGGGGTCTGCAATCTGGGGGCCGTCTGTCTGGGAGTCCCCGGAGGCTGTTCTGAAATGCTCACAGCAGCTTCCTAGAGGCTGCACCAAGTTCAATGGCGAATAAAAACTACACAAATGAGGAAGCTCACTAATTTGGAAAAAAAAAAAAAAAAAACGGGGGCTGGCATGGAACTAGAGAGAAGGATAAAAGGTTACTCCCCTTTTGTTTGCTTGCTTGGTTGCTTATTACTTTACGACAGTCCCTATAAGTCTGGGTGCCCCTCTAGGAGAAAGACAGGAAAGGTTTGTAATAGTAGCACTAGCAGTTTGTCTTCCAACGGACAGAAAATCCCCTTTAAAACCATCCTTAAACTAATAATAGTCAAAGCAAACATCCCGAGAGTAGTATGTGTCCATCGACAAACCGGGGCTTTCCTTGCCTCGTCTCTTCAGCTGTGTGAGGGGGACATTATCCTCATGGCCATTTGCAGACAAAGAAGATGAGCCTTGGAGAGACCCATGAACTTTCCCAAGTTCACTTAGGCTGGGAAGAGGAGGGCTGGGGTTCTAGTCGAGGGCTTCCGAGAATCAAGCCCGTCTTGTTAACCTCTGGACGGTCCTGCCTCCCATCATTGGCTCTTGGAGAAAAATATGTTTATTTTTATAGTGTGGAGTTTTTCCAGGTCAACCTCTTTGCAAGCGACCCCAAATTGCTGTATCCAAACACATACTTGCCCATTCTACACAACACAGCTTCTTCTGGAATAGTTTTCTCAGCTTCAGCACGCTAGGAATCTTACACCCGAGTGTTTTTCCCTCTTTGCCTCAAGCTGGAAAACTTGAAGCCAACTTTGCACCTCGCCTGCCATTACAGAGGAGTGACTGAGCACCAAGAGCTAATGTCCATTTGAGCGTTTTCTGTGCACCAAGCTTCATACTGGCACTTGCACTCACTCACTTGAAGCACATCACCAGCCTCTGAGACAGGCGTTCTCACTATCCCCGCTGAGCGGAGGAGGGCCTGGGAACACAGACTGGCTGGGTAGTTTTCTCAAGCTCATACAAGCAGGAGGTGGCAGAGCTGAGGTTCGCCCAGGCAGTCTGACCCTAGGCCCTAGGCTCTGCTCCTTACCTCTGCAATACTGTCTTTCACCAGCACAGATAGGCCAACCTGATTTTATTGTAACTTGTGTTCTTCTTTTATTTGGTGTGGCAGATTGTTACAAAATGGCCCCTACATCCTCTGCTAATTCCCAATCTTGATTGTGCGCAGAGTTGATCCTTTTGTTCTGGGAACCTTTCTTCTTTATCATCTTTTGCTCCCCTCCCCCACCCCTTTAGTTTTTAAATTAGGTAATTAGGTCACACAATGAATTACACCTCTCAGTATCTAGCCCTTGTATTATCCCTCCATGTTTGTTGACTCTGATTTGCTCTGATCGATGTTTGTTGACTCTGATTTGCTCTGATCGATGGAAAGGGCAGAGGTGACAGTGTGAGGCCATCAGTCCTAGGCCTTTAGAGGCCCTGGAGCTTCCACTCTCACTTTCTTGGAAGCCACCTTGAGATCAACACCTAAGGAAGCCAATCCAACTCCCAGAGTATGAAAGACCACAGAGGAGAGCCAATGGGACTCAGCCTCGGCCAGTACCGACTGCCACGCATGGGAATGAGGTCATCCTGGCCATTCCAGCCCAGCTGACCCTCCAGCTTGATGGGTCCCAGAGTGAGTTCAGGTAGAACCAGCCAGGGAACCACCCAGCCAACCCACAGAAGCATTAGAAAGAACACGTTTTTATTTAAGGCATTAACTTTTGTAGCTGCTTGTTAAACAGCAACAGATAATTGAAACACTAGACTTGCTCAACTCTTTATCAATTTACCTCATATTTTTGTAGGCCTCTCAGACCCCTCAGCCAATCAATAAATTGACCAACTATTTCTCCAGTGTTTCTCCAGAGGTCATCCAAATACTAATCACTATGTAGCAAGGATGAATGGAAAAAAAATTGGAAATGTCATCAAGAGAAAAGATGTGTCATCAGAGACCAAGGCTAAGATCATCCACACCCGTGTATTCCCAATTGCTATGCACAGATGAGAAAATCGGACAGAGAAGAAGACCAATAGGAAAAAACTTTCATTAGAAATATGCTTAACTTTATGAACACCCTGGACCACCAAAAAGATGAATAAGTGGGTCCTAGAGCAATGTAAGCCTGAAACATCTCTGGAAGCAAAAATGATAAAAAATGAAGTTGTCCTACTTTGGACACATGATGAGAAGGCCCCTCATTTTCTTTGGAAAAGACAATGAAGCTGGGAAAATAGAAGACCGAGCATGAGAAATAGACTCCATAAAGGAAGCCCTAGGCATGAATCGATAGCAGCTGAGCAGGGCTGGCGAGGACAGGACACTATAGACATAGCTCAGTCATAGGGTTAACAGGAGTCAGTGCTGACTCACTTTCACACACACACACACACACACACACACACACACACACACTCCAAAGAATGTGAGCTCATTCTGTCTCTGAGGCCCCAGAGACCAGCCCAGCCTTGGAGCCATTTTCATCCCCTACCCTCTGAGTCCCCACCCAAATGAATCTTACAATTTCCAACTGTCAGTTTTCTTAGATATCAAGAGGTCACCTTCGAGAATGCAAGGCAAGGAATCTGTGCCAGGGGTCTCTTCATGGGCCTGGGTCAGAGAGGGCACTCCCCAGAAGTGAACACTGTTCTAAAATATTCCATCTCCACTTAGGAGGCTTCGAGGAAGAATGACAAGGTTAGAAGGTCTAGCCTGATAACTGAGAATGCACCAGGACTCTCTGCAAACACTTGAAAGACATAAACAGCAGGAGAGAAGGAACAGTCAGGGCTGCCTAGGGAGCCTGGGCTACCGGCCACACATTCTTACACACTCATGCACACCCACCCCTAGAATTCAATCCCAGGTAATGGAGAGAAGAAGGGAGAGCCAGTTTTCACTCACAAACTCTGACAGCCTAAGGGAAGAAATGCAACAGAAAAGC